TAGAGCGCTGCCAGCGAGAGGGGCTCGTCTTTGGTCGCCACCCCCGACAGGTAGATGGCCTCTCGGCCGAGGCGCTCGAAGAAGAAGAGGCTGCTCGTCTCCGCCGCCGCGCCCACGAGAGGTGCTGTGATGCCCCGGTAGAGACCGAGCAGACCGTCGGCCTTGATAGACTGGCGGAAGCAGTCGACGGGACCTTTGTAACGGAGGGGCAGGTTGTCGGGCTGGGATTGGAGGCGGACCTTGACCGTGTCGAAGGGGTATTCGATGTATTTCCCGATAACGCCGGCAGCCTGTAACATCCGTGTTAGCCTTTGAGCAGTGTCATGGTTCGCGAGTGTCCTTACCGAGCCGTATACAACATCTTCCACGGCTTCCGCCGCGGCTGCGCGGGCAGTCACTGGCACGACGACTTCGTGTTGAGGGACTTCCATAATGCCAGCCGTTTTCTCCATGGCAAGAGAAAGTGTGCCACCAGATTTCCCGGCTTGACGCCCTGTGACGAGAGGGTAAATAAAGCGCGCGCTTCTCCGGGCGCCTAACGAGGGGGGCGGTGAGGAGGTTTCGCTTCGAGGGCGGCAGGAGGGGTCGAATGCACACTCGTCGAACAGGCGACCGGCAACGCCCGATAGCCCAAAGGCCTACTCAGAAAAAGCCTTGAAGCCTTTTGTCTATCTCAATCGTCGTTGAGTTGTGAAGCTCGTGGCTTCGCGGTTCGTCGAGGGAAGGCGCGGGGCAGAACGGTCTGGGAGTCACGCCAGCCAGGTGCGAAGCCGATACCGGGGTGGTTGGCGGCGAGAGGACTGATGAGGCTGAGGCGACCTCTCGCGGCGGGAGGGCCAGTGTTATGAAGGGGCGCGAGAGTGGAAAACACCGAGATACCTCAGACCCATTGCTTCATTTGACAGTGGCAGGTTGACAAGAAGGTGGCACGCTGTGTGTCGATTTTTTCCTTTCAGGTGCAGAATTGGGCCGTGACATCAAGCGGCGGCGATAAGATTAGATAAGATGGATCACAGGCGACTCTTCAGGCCTGGGCGTCGGGCGCCTTTTTGGCGTTGCGGGGTGGTTTTGGCGGACACCGCCGATACGCCACACCAAACCCATGTTCAAGGCCGTCTGATCATCTCGGTACTTCTGACAGCTCGGCCGGAGAGCTTCTCGGATGGTCGGATATCGACGTATCGAGCATCACCGCTACTTCAGACCGAGCAGGGGCCGGAGGTTTAGGGCAAAGGCCCGTGATGGTGGCTTATGGATGCCAAGGAGGTTTTCGTCGTGCTTGTGCGTGTGAATAACGCCATCACCTGGCCGTTGAAGGCTTCGTCATCGAGGCTGCTGCTCGGTTCTGTCAGTCTACCTGTCTCGCGCCCGGTCAAATATATACCTCTCGTTTTGGTGCACAAGCATTCCTCCTATGTAAGTACGTCAAGTGTTGGCAAAACGGGACAGGCCGTAGGAGAGCTACGGGATCATCACCGGTCCAATGCCAAAAAGACAGACAACCGTCGCATTCAAGTTCAGATCAACCAGCAACGTGGAATATCATGGTGGGAGATCCGGGTATCAATTCATCTATCTATCCGATGACTTCTTGCTGTACCCCTTCTGGGGCCTTTGCTGGGCTGCCTCATGTCTCCGCAGCTCCTCGGGCACCTTCGAGATGGAGCTCTTCGTGAGGATCTGCTTCATATCGTACATGAGATCCGAATCCTCAGGCCCAAGGAAAGTGATGGCAACACCACTCTTTCCAGCACGACCAGTACGACCAATGCGGTGCGTATACGACTCAATGTTAGTAGCCATGTTGAAATTGACGACCAGCGAAACATCCGCAACGTCGATACCACGACCCGCGAGATCCGTTGCCACAAGGACATCTGTCTGCCCATTACGCACAGATGCCAGCGCGGCCTCTCGCTGCTCCTGCGTCTTGCTGCCGTGGAGGGTAACGGCAGAGAAACCCATGTGCTTGACGTCGCGTGCCACAGCATCGCAGTTCCGTTTGATGTTGACGAAGACGATGATGGGAGGCGCGAAATCGCCCGAGGAGAGGATCTGTTGCAGCCGTTTCTTTCGCTTATCCTCCCCGGAGACGAACTCGACGCGCTGTTCGACTGTGTCAACAGCTTCGCCGATGTTTCCAATCGTGACAATAGCCGGTCGCCGCAGGTATTTCTTGGCGATCCTCTCAACGATGCTAGGCATGGTGGCCGTGTACATCATCGTCTGTCGGTATCGATCCTTTCCTCCCAGGTAGCGCTTCATGAGCTGCGCGTTCTCTGCCTCATCCGTGTCAGGCTTCTCGTTGGTAACCGGTAGCGCGTCCAGAATCTTGTTCACTGGTTCCTCGAAACCGAGATCAATCATTCGATCAGCCTCATCCATAATGACATAGCAGCACTGTCCCAGAACCAGCAACCGCCGCTCGATACAGTCCACGAGTCGGCCAGGTGTGGCGACGATGATCTCTGCTCCGTTGCGCAGGGCAAAGGCTTGCTCTTCCAATGAGTGACCACCAACGATGCTGACAACTCTGAATCCTAATGGCGTCGCAAACTTGTTCGCTTCAGATTCGATCTGCTGTACAAGCTCTCGAGTAGGCGCTAGGATGAGGCCGTACGGTCCGTCGTTCTTGTTCATTTCGCCTAGAGGGGGCAGGTCAGAGATGTAGACCAGTAGCGGCAGCAAGAATGAAGCTGTTTTTCCGGAACCTGTGACGGCAACACCGATCAAGTCCCTCGCCTGTAGCGCGATTGGAATAGCAGCTCTCTGAATAGGCGTTGGCTCATTGTAGCCAACTCGGTGGACGATGTCGAGGAGACGACTAGGCAGACCCGACTCGTCCCAATTCCGCATCGGGTTCGGAATCGCACCGCCTTTGGTCGCGATACCGAAGTCCTCCTTGAAGATTCTCCAATCACGGGCTGTCATCTCGTTCAGGGCCTTGTCTGTCCATCGCTTTCCGAAGCCGAAGCGTTCTGCTCGCTTCCTGGCCAGATCGCGACTGTTGTACCACTCATCCATGAATCTTTGCGCAAGCTCGGGTCCATCCTCGCCGTATTGCTCTTCGATCCGCCTGGCGCGACGCCTGGCTGCCTGCTCGGCCTCTTCCCCGAAGTCGTCACCCCCGCCTATCCCGGACAATGACACGACCTTGCTGGTGGTGACCCGCGGCGCCAGCTGATCATCCTTGAGCGTCGTGTCTTCGCCTTCGTCCCAGTCGAACTTGAACTCGGTCGCCCTTTTGCGCTTCTTCGCCGCAGAAAAGCTAGAGTTGCGGTTCACCTCGGGGCCCAGGTAGCGCTCGCGCAGCTGTTTCTTTTCGAATTCCTCCTCGGTCATCCTAGCATCACCTCCCTTCTTGGACGCGCCCTTTCCATTCTGACCAGATCTCCGGTCTTGTTGTTGTCGTTCAGGCGGTCGGTCTGTATCGTGATCGCGGTGGTTCTCGGCAGGCGCATTTGCCTTCTCGAGCCACTTCTTCTCGGATTCGGCTTTCTTTCTTGCATCCTCTTCCAGCTTGCGCCGCAGCTCTTCAGCTTCGTTTTTCGCCTTCTCAGCCGCCTGACGCTCACGCTCCTTCTTCGGAACGAACCGTAGCTTTGGCTTTTCGGGGAGAGGCATGGTGGGCGTGGGGTGCTTGAAGGTTCTATTCGAGTCGCTTGGGAGGTCGGAAAGCCTTTGGATCGGAACGCAATCACAGTGTCAGCTTGTCCTGTTAAATCTATGACAGGCTTTTTAGTGTGTCATGAAAATCAAGGAGAAGAACGACAGAGGGAGAGGTGACAGCGCAGGAAGCGAGCCTTGGGTATTTGGTGTTCTGACCTTGAATGCTTAGGTTTAAAGGTTTCCAAGTTGACCATGCACGGGAAGGATTGTGCAGAAGTCCAGGCTATTGAGCATGCCTCCCGAACAGTAGAGTCTAACCGAACGACGGTCTAAGCGGTACGTCTGCCAGTCGGAGAATCCCGACGTGGAACGAAACTGAGGACTCGTTACAAATAACAGAAGTGACGACAGTGTCGAGGCGTGACAGACAGTATGGACACTCACGTCCATGAGCAGGAAGATGGGCCCACTTTTTGTATGTACGTACAGGGGTCCATACAGCTCCAAAATTTGAATCGCGAACCGATTATCACCCGCGAGCTTCCCCCGATTCCAGCAGGGCATCCATCGAGACGCCATTGCCGAACACACGCCCACACACTGCAATCGACGCTACGATGGCGGCTTCACAACCGTACGCCCAGCTCGCGAAGGCGCTTCCGGCCCGCCTGCAGCGCTTCATCGCCCGGTATCCCGCGCCCTCGATCCTACCTGCAGGCGCCACCCCCGAGACCTTCAAGACGGGCTACCAGGAGGCCAGCGCAAACCCCTTTTCCCGACAGAAGCACCCGGTGACGGGTGTGTGGCACGAGCCCGTATACTCTTTGCGTCGTCAGGCTGAGCTGGTGAAGCTCGCGCGCGAGCACGGCGTTGAGGAACTGCTGCCGCCTACCGTCAAGGGATCAGAGTACCAGCTTGCCCACCGGGTTGAACACGGTCTGAGGGTCAAGGGTACGGGTGTGGGACAGAAGGTCAAGGGTCATCAGCACGAGAGGATGGTCATGCCAAGGTATGTAATAACCGTGGTGGTGATTATGCTGTTGATGGAGCAGGCTGACACATTCAATAGAATGGAGAGGAGGAGAAACGCCATGCTAAACATGCCGGACTTGATGAGGCAGTGGAAGAAGGTGAGTTCATGGTGCGGAGTTGTATTTTCGGCGGATTCTAACACTCTCCAAACAGGTCGGAAAGTACAGGTGGAAGAAGTTCCCCAAGTCCGTCAACGGTTGAGCCACGAAACGACCCCAGATCCAAGGATCTGTGTATACAAACTTGTACAATTTTCATCAAGCATGGAAAGAACATTTACTTCAATCGTGTGTCTGTCATTTGCACTTCCGGTGATCCACGCGTTATGCTACGATATTCGGTGAACAGCACAAACAGCGTTGACCGAACTATCGATCAAGGAATGTGTTATTGTGTCCGGCATGTTGGATCTTCCCAAACTTGGTGAAGTAATTGGCCATCTTACAACGTCCCAGAGTCACTGTCTCGTGTTAAGGCCTTGAGTGCTACTCGGGAACCGCCATGGACCACTCGGCTATGTGTACAGTGTCATGCGCAAACGTATCTTTCGGGCTTGATTGAGTGCTCCCGTGCTGCCTGCCCAGGCTCAGACTTCGTCCAGTTCAAACTCAAGTCCAAACTCAGTCACCATGTCTGTAAAGTTCAGGTTGTCTTTCGAGCACCTAATCCTGGAGCGGGGATTTGGCACTCAATGTGAAGGCGAAGAAAAAACCCAAGTTCTCCATTGTTGTAGGAGAATGTCCACTGGTCTTATTTGCAACACAGGTACCGAAACTCCGAGGTAGCATCCAGACAAACTGAAGGACCATGGTCTAGCACAACATACAATAAAGAGCAAGAGACTTTATACCTAGGTAAGGATCTCCCAGCTGTATCCGCCTTGGACATCACGTGATAGGTGACGGGCTAGAGCATGGCTCACATGTGAGTAAGAGTTGGCACACTATCTTAGATTTGCTATTGTACTTTGGAAGCGGCTTGGGCGATGGAACTTGGCTGGTCCGTCGAGACGGAGCAACCTACGCTAGCACCGCGACTTGATCACTAATTAAGCAGGTGTCATTGCTGTAAGCTCACGCCTTGGCATTTCGCAATTACAACATGATAGTCATGATCCTTGAATGTCAATCAGTATGACAACATAAAAACTTGCCCTTGAGACGGGAGCCATGTGGATTGCACAGTTGTGTACCTAAGTCGAACCGCTAGTTTTGCCCCAGGGCTGAGTACCTACCTAGACTAAGGCAGGTCAGGTAAGCTGGAGCTAAAAGCAGCAATGGCCCATAATCCGCCCAGGGCGCATGGGGCCAGTCAAATCCGTCTTCGAAGGTCACTCACATCACAGCACGCCGCTGGCTCACAATGAGCCACTCGCCCTCACATCCGGTTGCGACAGCATCTAATTACTATGAAATACTCGGTATTTCTCCGTCGCTATTGGACACGGAGCGAAATCAGCAAGCTCAGTTGATCAAACGCGCATACCATCGAGCTCTTCTTCGGCATCACCCAGACAAGGCAAAATCCGAGTTTGGAGCAAGTGACGGTTCGAAAATCAGTGTCGGAACATCCACAGCGTCTGAAGTGGCCCACTTCACGATTGATCAGATCACAAACGCCTACAAAACACTCTCAAGTCCCAGCTCTCGCAAAGCGTACGAAGCGCTGCTGAAAGCTGCTCAAAACAAAAAGGACCAGCAAGTTTTCCAGACTGGAGTGGAGAACGTCGACCTTGATGATCTAGAGTTTGACGAAGAAAAGGATGTTTGGCACCGCAGCTGCCGGTGTGGGAATGATCGGGGGTTCCTTCTGGGCGAGGGAGATCTCGAGGAGGCTGGAGAGATGGGTGAGCTCTTGGTTGGTTGTCAAGATTGCAGCCTCTGGATGAAGGTACATTTTGCAGTGATGGACAACTGAAGAAGTCGACGGGAGGATTTCATCCCCCCCGAGAATCAAGTTTTGCCTCTCATGGCAGTGACAGGCTCTTCACCTATCATGATTCATAGCCCAAGGCTTGATACCAGCATTTTTTTGCTGGTGCGATTGGGTCATTGAAAAGGCTTGTCGGCATTCTCGAGGCAAGGGATACATGTGATTTCGATATCAACTTGCAGCCCTAGTCGAAGCAAAGTCAACGACAGAGGATTCAGGCTGAGATGAGACGCGATGATCAGTAGCAGTGGCCGATGGCTGGCTTACCACTATCCTAGGCAGGACAGCACAGATATCTCTTGACAGTGGTGGTTAGGCCAAGAGTCGTCATTTAGCCATTAGTCGGTCGCCCATATGCTTCAATGTATGTTTCGTGCATCGGAAGGTAGTATCTGCTCGGTGAGGCGTAATCTCTACAACCGAACGATGGCGCAGACGATTCGACCGACCAATACGGCGCTCGAGGTAGTGGCAAGACTTTGTGTGGTTCACTGGTCACCATCAGCCTCAACTTGTGGTCACCTGATCAACGTGGTACCAATAGGTCATGGAGACTATCGCGGTATTTCAGGCTCCCTGGCGGTTGCGGCGGCGCGGTGCAAGCAGAATAAAAAATCACCGGTAGAATGCATCGGCACCACCATGACGTTGATAGGTACATGTACCTACAAACTGGCGCGTGGCCTCTCGTGATCATGGCCGTTCGTTGGTTGACCTGTGCCATAATTAGCAATGTGGTCGCAACGGCTGACAGACTGGTGGCGACAGTCGAGCGCAAGGTCTGGTTTGTGCATTATGCAGATGGGTAGGCACACGACCTTAGGAAGGGTGTGGTGCTCGAGAGTCGCTGATGAGCTTCGGTAGGCGGTCCGCGCGGTGCCTCGGCGAGGCTGCTGCTTCTTCCCCGCTCCCACTTGCCTCTACCTTACCCATCACACACCTTACAAAGTGAATTTTCATCACACTGTCGGAGGTGGTGCCTTGCTTGCTTGGCTTGGCCATCACTACCTGTACTTGCTGGCAACCTCGATCACACAGCACCAGCTCGGCGCACAAGAAACCTATTTCTGATGCCACGCCTCTACTGTATCGACGCCGACCGGCAGGCTCGGGTAGTATCAATGATCCCACACACTCGAGTCTGACACTGCACGGCAAGAGGGCAACGGCGATCAGCTGCCCACGTCAGATTTTGGGTTGCGACCTTGTGTTCCCAGCAAAAACCAGAATGGAGACAAGGCCGCGTGGTTGTCGCTCGCTGGGTTGCGCAGACTCGCCATGTCGCCACCCGTAACTTGCTGAAGCATCTCGAACCGCCGCCAGCAGACCTTCAGACAAAATGAAAGCTTTCGAGGAGCCGTTCGAGCCGTCAAACAGACCGAACAACTCTCGAACCAATCAGTCAGAAGGCCGGAGCGCGTACATGCAGAGGAGCAAGAGGGACTTGAGGGGGAAAGGCCCCAAGACAAGTGTCGAGGACCAAACTCCAAGCGTTATTCTCTTGCCGCCCGACCTGCATGTGGCTGGGTCGACATCACACTGCTCAGGGCTCCGATTGGCTTCTTGTTTGCTCACCACCCCCTGTCACCTCAGCATGTGGCACTCAGCAGGACTGCACGGCGGCCAACCTATCACATCTGCACATCACGCATCTTGAGGGTGGCAGGCGGCAGGGTTATTGACCACTGATCCCCTCAACGGGCCCGAGTTGGCGCCGGAGCTTGTAGAGCTTGTTCAAACCGCTGAGATAGCGCCCTGCCTTGTCGACTTGTCTGCCCAACCACCTGTCGCTCTCCCGCCTCAACACCCGTCCGCCCCCCCTCCCCGCCTCTTCGATATTCGGGGGTCTGGTTCCTAGGCCCAATCAACTCCTTTCGTTGCCCTGTCGAACCATGCAGGTCTCTGCCTCGAAGACTGCCAAGTGCCAGTGAAGGACCCTCGAAGCTGCACTCTGTACTTTGGACGGGACGAATGCTTGTACAGCTCCTCTCCGGAGCCTGCTTCGCGGTCTGCCTTGGTCTTTTTCTGTCTCTCGCTCTGTCTCTCTCCCACCTTCCCGCTGTCTCCCCATTCGGACTACCGTTTGACTTGGGTGGTTGTGTTGGTGGCATGCCTCGCTTCCAAATATACACTCGTTTCCCTCTTCCCCTCTCGTGAAGACCTCTCTCTCTCTCTGTCGCCCACATCGCTTCGTGACACCCTTCAGAACTAGTTGCAGAAGGCTCTATTGCGCGGGCTGCCTGTTTCGCCGGCGCTGCCAAAAACAGCTCTGCGCTCTTGACCAGGCTGTCCGGGTGGTTACCCGCCGCTAGAGGTTTTGGTGCGGTTTCCGCAAGAAACCTCGTCCCTGGTTTCCAGAGCTCGGCGCTTCGAAATCGACCTCTCTCAGCGCCTATTTCCCATCACAGCCGAATCACTGCCCTGGAACTGGGCTATCACCCTAACAGACCCTGCTCCTGCTCGCGCCATTACTCCCCCGCCCACGCTACAGGTAGGGATCCCATTTGCCTTCTGTTCTGCCGTTGTGCCACTTACACGCCGCTCATCCTTCCCGTCTAGACACCACCTCCTCTAAGAGTTGGCTGCATCCGCTCAAAACCAACCTCGTCCCCATCTGAGCCGCCCGTTGGAAGTCTTACCTCCCTCCTTCCTTCGATAGCTGGTCTCTCACAAGTCTGATTTCCTATTGCGCCTCAACTGTTCTCGCCGCCCCGTCTCCAATTCGCACGTCCCCGTCCTGAAGCCTCAGCCTGTCTTTGTCCAACACTAAACCCGGTGCTTCGCATCGCCCTTTGATCCATACGAAAGGACCAAGACGCTTGCCTTCGGGCTCTTTCTCTGCCGTGTTCCTCGTAGTGGCGTCCACATTTCACCGCACAACATGTTCTCTCAAGGTTCGTCTTTGTCCGCAACACGGCACATGACGAATTCTAGACTAACAGTGTTGGCCTGCATAGACGACAAGAAGCGGCCTGCCGCACTCAACTTGACGCCAAACCGCTCAGCATCCACAGACTCGTCATCTTCAGGCTCTTCTCTTAAGCCCCCTCGCACACCGCGTTTCGCTGAGGCCACTTCGGTTCATTCTCCCGTCGAGGCGCCCCTCTCACCTTTTGCACCTCATGAGAGGTCCGAGATGGCTCAATCCCAGCCTGGCGACATTGGCTTCGGCTACATCAACAACCGCGAATCCGTCAACGTTCCCATGACCCCCAAGACGCCCCTCAAGAGCGCCATGCGGGTGCCCGGAACTCCCGCCAGGAAGTTTGAGAACCCGATGAGCCCAACATTCAAGGAGGAGGAATTCCTCGACAAGAGGGAGTCGCACACTAGCAAGGCCCAGCGCCGCGATCTGGTACGTCTGTGCTATTATCACGCTGGTCGTGCGTCATCACCTGCTAACTCGTCCACAGAGGATAAAAACTCGAGTCCGAATGGCCAAGTTTGCTCTTCGCGGTGTCAGCTTCAGCTGTGCCCTTATCATCATCTCGATGCTGTCTGCCTCCTTCTCGATTTTCAACGCAACAAGATCGCTGCCAGCTCAGAGTGGTCTGCCTGCCTGGTCGGAGAAGAGCAAGATCTGGCCTCAGATTCTGATTCTCGTCGTGGCCGGCATCTCACTGCTCGGATGCATCATTGTTTTCGCTGCCTACTGTAGAGGCGGGCATAAGAGGGCGGAAAAGGTTGCGACGTACTACACCATGTTCGCCATCGGCTGGTTCATCGTCTCAATGATCATGTGGGTCATTTCTGCTGGCATCTTCCAACACCAACGGAGCTCAAGCGCTGGTCGCGACATGTGGGGTTGGAGGTACGTTTCCCCAAAACATCATGTTCGACGTTGTGACGTGCGAAACTAACTCGTCGTAGTTGCAAGGAGAACAGACGCGCTGAGCTCTACCAAGACAAGGTCGACTATGCTCTGGTCTGCCGCCTGAACAACTGGGTTCTCATCTGCATCATCATTGAGGTCGTCATTGAGATCATCGCCATCTCGCTCTACAGCATCGTGTTCTATCGTTACTACACCAAGCGCCGCCTTACCAAGTCCATGGACATGCGTGATAGGGCTCGCTCTGACCTCTACCTCGCCCAGCTACGCAGCCAGTCCGCTCCCAATACCCCCGGCCTCAAGTCCCCCGGGCTCTACTCGCAGTACGCCCTCTCCCCGCGCAACCCGGAAAAGACGTTTGCGTCTCTCTCGGCCATTGAGGAGCAGCAGCCGCAACCCACCTTTACGCCGGCAGCACGCTTCGTCGAGCCTGCCTCGAGCTTCGCTGGCCAGCAGCAGTCCACCTTCAAGCTGCAGGCACCGCCAGTCAAGGCGCCTTCGGCAACACCCAAGCTTGGCGGCGGTAGCTTCACGCCGACCTCTACAACGGCCCCTGCTCTGCCCACGCACCCGCCTTCGCCGCCGCAGCCTACCTACAACGAGCATGCACATGCCTCGGGCGCAGCGGACGAGCCCGTGTACGACGCTGTGCCGATCCCAGGGGCTTACGCCGATGCGCCTGTGAAGGGGTATGGTCGGTAGATGGTGGAAAACTGGGTGACGATAGAATGACAGTGTTTTTGATTTTCTTTGTCTGCGTCAGCTTGCTGGCTGGTGCATACACCCCTCCCTTCATTTAAGGCGATTTCTTTTTTGGATCGCACTATATACCATCACGGCGTTGAGGATCATGGAAAGAGTTTCCTCGACGGTGGATTTGCTGGGCTGGCCTGGGAAGGTTGGGTACTCTAGCACTCTGAAGTAATTGTGAATATTGTATAAATGGAGGACAGAATTGTGAAAGGCAGTTTCTGTTGATGAAGATAACAAGACTGCAAAGTCTGTCAACATCTGTTTCTTTTCAACATCTGTTTTTTCTTGAAACATTTACACAATACAAACGATTGCAGGGCTCCTTACAAGGGAAATGCACCAAGAAGACAGTGAGACGACGAGCAAATGCAGCACGTAGGTCGTGGGTCTCGCGGGGAAGCACACAGTGAGGGGCAACGATCCTTATCGGACCTATCATCCCCAATCAGGACTAGCGTCAGAGTCACACTCAGGACTGCACAACTACGAATTTTGATGTGCCAAACGAGGCGAAATCACTCGGAGAGCGAAGGCACGTCAAGCTCCACGAAGAACCACTGCGGCCAAAGTGCTCCAGTCCGACCTCTCGGTGTCCCATCAAAACAACGTCCCGTGCAAATTACACCCACCTTGCCCGGCCAAATTTCTCCCGCGACCACGCGACCACACTTCCTCCTCAACAACCGACGGACGACCCCGCCAAAGCAACGACCCCTAACCGCAATCATGGCTTCCGACGACCCCAAGTTCGACGACATCGAGTCCGAGTCCGACTCTGGCGAGTCCAACATTGACAACCACGGCGAGGATGAGCAGGAGCTCAAGAGCGCCCTCAAGAAGTCCTCCAACCCCGTCACCGCCGAGGCGCCTGCCGTCCAGCGCCCGACGCTGCCCCCTCAAACCGACCCCAAGGATCTCGACGTCAAGACCCTGAACCCCCTCACAGCCGAGATCATCGCGCGGCAAGCGACAATCAATATTGGCACCATCGGTCACGTCGCTCACGGAAAGTCTACCGTCGTCAAGGCCATCTCCGGTGTCCAGACTGTTCGTTTCAAGAACGAGCTGATCCGCAACATTACCATCAAGCTGGGTTACGCCAACGCCAAGATCTACCAGTGCGACAATCAGGAGTGCCCTCGTCCCGGATGCTTCAGGAGTTACAAGAGTGAGAAGGAGGTCGACCCGCCATGCGAGCGCGAGGGTTGCGAGGGCACCTACAGGCTGCTGCGACACGTCTCGTGAGAACCATCCCCCCGGAGCGCGACCCCTCCTACATGTCGCTACAATGTCATCACGCTAACCCGACTCGAACGCACACAGCTTCGTTGACTGCCCTGGTCACGACATTCTCATGAGCACCATGTTGTCAGGAGCCGCCGTCATGGACGCCGCTCTTCTGCTGATTGCCGGCAACGAAACCTGCCCTCAGCCCCAGACGTCCGAGCATCTTGCTGCCATTGAGATTATGAAGCTGGACAAGATCATCATCCTCCAGAACAAGGTTGACCTGATGCGTCCCGAGGCCGCCCAGCAGCACTACCAGTCCATCCTGAAGTTCATCCGTGGCACTGTGGCCGGAAAGTCGCCCGTCATCCCCATTTCCGCCCAGCTGAAGTTCAACATTGACGCCGCCCTCGAGTCCATCGTCAACACGATCCCTGTGCCCGTGCGCGACTTCACCATGGACCCCCACATGATTGTCATTCGCTCCTTCGACGTCAACAAGCCCGGTGCCGAGATTGACGAGCTCAAGGGCGGTGTCGCCGGTGGCTCCATCCTGCACGGCGTGCTCAAGCTCGGCGACGAGATTGAGATCCGCCCCGGCATCGTCACGCGCGACGAGAAGGGCGCCCTCAAGTGCACGCCCATCTTCAGCCGCATCGTGACCCTCAACTCGGAGTTCAACGAGCTCAAGTACGCCGTCCCCGGCGGCCTCATCGGCGTCGGCACCCGCATCGACCCCACCCTCTGCCGTGCCGATCGTCTGGTCGGCTTCGTCCTCGGCCTCAAGGGACGCCTGCCCGAGATCTACAGCGAGATCGAGATCAACTTTTACCTCCTCAAGCGCCTCCTCGGTGTCCGCACCGCCGACGGCAAGCAGGCCAAGGTCGCCAAGCTGGCCAAGAACGAGGTCATCATGGTCAACATTGGCTCCACCTCGACCGGCGCAAAGGTCGCCGCCATCCGCAACGACGCTGCCAAGCTCATCCTTACGAGCCCGGCGTGCACCAACATTGGCGAGAAGGTCGCCCTTTCCAGGCGTATCGAGAAGCACTGGCGTCTCATCGGCTGGGCCACCATTGCTGCGTGAGTCCCCCCCCCCCCCTTATTTTTTTGAAGCGGTTTCTGTTGTGTGTAATGTGAGACTGACGTACCTTGTGCAGCGGTGTTACCCTTGAGCCCAGCACGTCTTAGGCTGATGAGCAGACGATGGGGAAAATGGGAGACATGAGACCATGACTACGGTTACGGATCGCGGTTTAGATAGCAGATGGGCTTAGAAGAAAAAAAGGCCATCCAGACGATGCTGTTTTGACTGATGTTACATTTTGCTCTTCGTGATGTGAAGGGACGTGGTTTGCAGGAGCACTTCGATCATGAGGCCTACATGCCTTGGGCATTCTTGTCACATGAAAGCAGATGGTCCAACTCGACGAGGGAAAATAGGTAGGTGCTTTGATCCTGACCACGGCGACGGGCTCAAGACAATGCTTCCCTGTGATCACGTCAGTAGCCATGCTTGTTGAGGCCTCGAGACACCGCGTTGGATCGTGCCCTATTTCTAGAAAGGTTTCCAGCTTGCACTTTCAGGCAGTGGTGATGAAGCATGATGCAGCATAATGGAGCCAAGGTAGAGTACGTTCACGGCAGGCCTGAGAGAACATGCCATACAGAAGCATCCAGACGCTCATGTACTGCCGAGAGACGAAGGGCACGCATGGGTATATTATTCGGCTCGTAACATGGCGCCACAGGTCCTCGCCAGATACCGCGCCCAGCCCTCGACATGTCCTGCCCGGGACAGCCTGTTCAGGGGGGCCGTCGTCTATTTTCTTGTCTTCTGCGCATGCTTGACCAGATTCTCAATGACAGCTTCAAACGCCTCCCTGTCGCCAATCTTCTCGTCCGTCTTCTTCGTCCAGTGCTCCAGTACCTCCTTTGCCACGTTTTCCAACGCCTCCAGCTTCCTGTTATGTGTCTTCAGCTCGTCGTCCGTCATGCCGTTGAGAGCCTCCTCCGTCGTCGTCGCCAGCTGCCGGCCGGCGACGAGGTCCAGCTCCGGTGTCGGCGGGGGGGCCTTGCGCTGGCTCATGCTCGTCGGGCGCTTGGCGTTGCCGCTCGAGTCGAGGCTGGTTGTCGAAGCGTTGGCCTCGGACTGGCGGACGCGGGAGACGGAGCGTGATTCCGACGAGGTGCGGAAGGAGCCGTTCGAGGTCTTGCGGTGCAGCGATGGGAGGATGAGCTTCTTCTGCTTCGAGGCCGGGAGGATCTCGTCGAGATCGACGGGGACGCCGAGAGAGACGAGGAAGAGGCGGCGGATTCTCGAGCGGATCCAGTCTGGGGGGGAAACTGGCGGGGGCGCCACGAGCTGTGACCACAGAGAGGCGCTACGTTCTGAAAGGAACACATTGTTGTCCCGGGAGAGCGGCGGCAGCGTAGGGAGGTCGAGTTCAGCTGGGGGGAACAGAGAGTGGAGATAATTGTCGAGAGCGTCGGACATGTCTTCGCCATCCAGGTCATCAAGATCAGGTATAGGCTGCATGGCAAGGTTAGTCGCGTGTACGCCCTACTGAAACGATGCAACTTACGAAAGGTAACGTAGCCAGCGGCACTGCTGGGGGAGGGGCACGCGCCGCTGGCTCTGGAGACACTTGAGTCTCGGCCTGCTGGAAGCCGTCCTCAAAGTCGTCGAAATCGGCATCTTCTCCGCCTTCTTCGAAATCATCGAAATCATCCCCAAAATCTGCGTCGTCGTCGCCGTCGTCATTCTCGTCGTCGTCGTCGTCTTCCGCTTTCGGCGGCGGCACTTTCAATGCTGGCTGTTCCGGCGTTGCGTCTGTAGACTCTGTGGCTTGGACCAAATATTCGGAATCTGCCGCAGGCGCATTATGGGAGTCTAGAATTACAGTGTCTGGCGAGCCGGGCGGGGGTGAAGATGTATCAGCTTGCTCGACGGCCGGTGTTGTGGGAGCAGACACGTCAGCCGCAGGTACGGGGGAGTCTACGGTATAGGAGTGAGCAATCATTGATTCATTTCTTCATAAGGAGAACGACTACATCATTTCATACCGGTACTGTTGGATTCCTCAGTCTGGCCATCTGGCTTCACGACCACGTCCGCATCGGCGTCAGCCTTCCGCTTCTCCAGGAACTCCTCAGAGTGCTCTCCAGTGGTGCCCGAAGACTCCTCGACGACAGTCAGGGGGATCGGCTGCCCGCCGGGGGAAGTGGTGGGCGCGCCGTCATCTAGAGCCTCCAGCTTCTTGTCCTCGACCAGGGCAATCTCATCAGGCTCGGCGTCCTCCTCCCGCTTACGGTACGCTTCTGTTCCTGGCACCTCGCCGTAGGACGGCTCGTCGTCAACCTTCTCTACCCTCGTCTTCGGGATGGGTGACTTGGGGGAAGTCTCGGGCGCGGACTGGGCGTCGGAGAAGTGATCGTCGTCAGAAGACTCGGCTGGAGACAGGGTCAGCGCTTGACGCAGGAAGCGGGGGGTGGGTTGAGGTCAACGGGGCATACCCAGGTCTTTGGCGCCTGGATCAGCCGTTCCCGTCCGCTTGGGTGGAGTGAGGTTAGTATGGTCCGCCATAATGGTGGTGGTGATGCGGGAAGCAGGTTGGCGGTCCCTGGTGTGGGCTCAAGCTTTGGGGTGCTGCGATACAGGGGTCCCGACTTGGGCTCCGCTCAGGCGAGGCTTGGTTGCTCAAGGTGCTCCAGCTTGCAGCGAGGGGGGTAAATAAGTTGGTAAGGCTGGCGGGGAGGTTTGTTTCTTTTAGGTGGCGGGCTATGTTGCAACAAGCAGGTAAGGAGAGCTTCAGTCAAGTTCCAGAATCAGGTCGTCCTCAAAGCTTATTAGGGTATCTACATGTACATCAAATGCACGTCGTCACAGGTCTGGACCACGACCGCCAAGAAGGAGCACTGAACGTTGTCTGGGCAGGATGCTACACAGTGCCGACGCCCCTCTCACGTCACATGATGGCACCCACCTTGGATGGGGTTGTCAGACCCAGCTGTCGCCGGATGGCATGTGGATGCGCCTGTCCAACAGTCCAATAGTTGGTGGGTATTTATTGATCTGTACGTCCGTATTTACAACCAGGGGATAACACGGGTAGAATCTGACGAGTGAAAGATCTAGTTAAGGCTCTACGGGTATTGGAAACTTCAAGTAGAGTGCGTATGGACCAGTAACCTGCACTCGGCCCATTCACGTAGGTAGGCCTGCAACATGGCGGTTTGGTGAGGTGGCCTTTTCCTAGGTTACGAGCATCTCGGTAATCTTTGCGGACTTCGTCAGGAGACGACCAGAGCCGACTTGGATCTAATTAAGGCATGATAATGCGAATGAACCCAGGTGTTGAGTGGTCGTATACAAGGCTGTTTTAGTAGGTAGGGCCCATGGAATACATGCACCCATCAAAGGCATTTGGTCGCATGCCTCAGCCGCCGAGTTCTCAAGCAGCAGTTTTCTCAGTAGAAGCTAATGCCAGACGCCACTGTGCCACAAGAAACCAGTGTACTTGCTTGTAAAGCGTCTAGTCGCTTGTTACATGTTGGTAAGAACAAAGGCGAGGTGACAGACCCCTCCGACAAAAGGCGTCTCCCCGTTCCTCTTGTATTTGCCAGCTCTACCCAGCATAGAAAGACGCAATTAATGCGAATGGAAGCCAAATCCCCTGCAAGCTCGGTGGTTTGTCTGATGAAATCTGAAGTAAGCTGCGTCCCAGTTGTTGGTGGGTGGAGCTCCGACACAGAAGCACGGTTGTCCCACGTGATCATGATTGGAGCGAGCAATCAGAAATGGGACCTGCAATAGCAGCAACATAACCAAAAAAAAGCTACCAACAATCCCCAGCTCTTCTTCCCTTGATAGCGACTCCCGAGCTGCGCCCATAGCACTACCACACGCTTCCGACTTCCGATTTGACGTGGTCGATTCCTCAATACAACTTCGTGCAACCATCTGCGACTCGATGCGATAGAACCGACGCGCCCATTCTACAAGCTTGCGCCCAAGCTAGCTGGCGACGCGTCCCAGCACCTCGCTACCCTCTCCATCTTTCTCTCTCTGTCTCTCTCCCACATTGCAGCGACACAAGCCGTAATCCACAATGTCTTTCAGTTTCGGACAGTCGAGCTCGACGCCAACTTCGAATGGCCAGGCCAACCCAACCACATCGGCACCTGCCTCTGGCGGCCTCTTTGGAGCTGCCAGCGGAACTCCTAGCTTTTCCTTCGGCAACACAGGCACAGGCTCAGGCGCAAGCACTCCTGCGGCCGGCGGTGGCTTGTTCGGTGGAAACGCTGGGCAGAAGCCCGGTGGTCTCTTCGGCAACGCTGGCGCAGCATCTACTACCCCTGCCTCAGCACCCGCCGCGGGAGGACTGTTTGGCAAACCTGCCGCTCCCGCTGCCTCGACAACACCTGCCTCTGGCGGCGGCGGTCTATTCGGCAACACTGGCTCGACGACCCCTAGCACAGCTGCTCCGGCTTCTGGAGGCCTTTTCGGCGGCGGTAGTGCGGCTCCTCCTTCGACTGGCGGCTCGTCACTCTTTGGCGGAGGTGGCGCCGCGGCGGCAACCGCGAAACCGGCCGGAGGACTTTTCGGTGGAGCCAATACAGCCAGCGCTGCTCCCGCTGGTGGACTCTTCGGGGCTCAAAATACCAGCCAGGCACAGACGCAGGGTTCCACGGCGAGCCCTGCCCCTGCCCCTGCCGCTGGTGGCCTCTTCGGTGGCGGCGGCCTGAAGCCCCCCTCAACAAGCGCGCAGCAACCCGCTGGTACATTCCCCTCGCAAGCAACTCCCGCCAAGAGCCTGTTCTCTCAGCCATCCACAACGCCTGCCGGAGCACCGCCGGCTGGCGATTCGAAGCCTGCAGCTGGAGGTCTCTTTGGCGCTGCGGGTGGCAGCCAAGCTAGTACCCAAGCACCAGCAACAAGCCAGCCTGCGGCTGCTTCAGGAGGTCTCTTTGGAGGTGCTGCCCAGGCCGCACCCGCTCCCAAGCCAGCCGGAGCAGCAGGACTCTTTGGAGGTGCAGCGACGCCTGCTGCCTCATCCGGTGCCGGTGGCCTGTTCGGTGGACAGAAGCCCGCTGCGCCAGCTGCTTCCTCTGCTGGAGGCTCTTTGGAGCTCAAAACGCAGTCTGCGACTCCCGCTACCCAGCCGGCCCCAACCAGCAACCGCCCGGAGGCTTTGTTCGGCGCCAAGCCTGCTGCGGCCAACCACACCCCGCGAAAATCTTGCGCCAGCAACGTCGACTGGCGGGTGGTCTCTTCGGTGGTGGTGGTGGTGCTGCGACCACATCTGCTGCTGCTTCAGGTGGACTGTTCGGCGCGAAAGACCACCGAGGCCTCGTCTACCGCTACACCCGCCACGGCTGCTCCTGCATCGTCAGGTCTCTTCGGCAACCAGACATCGTCCACCGCCCAAGCTAAGCCGGCCGCCGGCGGCCTTTTCGGTGCTGCTGCATCGACGCCCGCTTCCACAGCGGCGCCTGCGACGGCAGCCTCGACTGCGCCAGCTGCTGCCGCTACCACCGCAGCCGCTGCTGGTACCTCCGCAACCCCCGCCGCGTCTTCCGGCAACGCTCTCGGCGCCTCGACAACAGGACCTACTTCGCAACTACCACGCCTGAAAAACAAATCCATGGATGACATCATTACTCGTTGGGCGTCGGATCTCTCCAAGTACCAGAAGGAGTTCAAGGGTTACGCGGGTGAGGTGTCCGACTGGGACTTTACCCTGGTCAATAATGGGGAGAAGATCCAGAAGCTGTACCTCAGCACGTTCGAAGCTGAAAAGGCGAGCCACGAGATTGAGCGACAGCTCCTGTCGGTCGAAAGCCAGCAGGACGAGCTGGAGGAGTGGCTCAACCGCTACGAGGGCGAGGTCAAGGAGATGTTCTCGCGCCAGATGGGCCAGGGCGAGACCCTCGCCGGGCCGGACCAGGAGAGAGAGCGCACGTACAAGCTCGCCGAGAAGCTGACGCAGCACCTCGACGAAAAGAGCCGCGATCTCTCCAAGATGGTCAAGGAGATCAACGAGATCTCGGGCACCATGAGCAAGGGCACCAAGCCCGAGGACCCTGTACGTCATGTCGTCGTGGTCACTATCGCCTTGCGTCAGCTAGCTAACGAGTTCACAGCTGAGCCAGATTGTCCGCGTCCTCAACGGACACCTCACACAGCTCCAGTGGATCGATCAGAACGCGGCAGCGTTGCAGGCCAAGGTGTCGGCTGCGCAGAAGACGGGCAACAACCTAGGCAGCCAGTACGGCGCTACAGAAACCGACGCAGCAGAGAGCTTCTACCGCTCCTACGTGGCCCGACGGTAGAGGGTGACGTCATGAAGAGGAGTGGGCGACAGATAGTATGCATGTGAGCTCAGGGCTAGGAATCGGAAACCAAAGGGCGCAAGGTATGGAAGAGGGAAAAGCACACGACACACGAGATCAGTCGCGTCGAACCCCCACCCTTCTGAACACATCGAGGGGGGTTGGTGAGCGCTGCGATTGGAGATGCTTTTGCTTCTGCATTATCATTTGTACATGTACAACTAGCTGGACAGTTTGGTAATACCAAAAGTGGACGCAATCTGTTTCTGTTTCCATGCGGTACAGGGCTGCTACCAGTTTTAGCTTTCACAAGCGTTAAACGCCCCCGAGCCAAGAATTCAATTGATGTCGTCCTCCGCGTCGTCCGCCGACTACACAACAGCGCTACCGTCTCTGCATCACCAGCATGGTTGCCGAGTGAAGCGCGTGTTGATCGATGTCAATGTTCCTAGTTCTTCTCGCCGCCCTGGTCCTTGGTGATGTCGTCACTGTACAAAGGGGAAAAAAAAGGCAAGGTTAGCAAGGTCTATCAAACAGCATCCGTCGTCGACAGGGAGAACTGGAGATGGGTTTGTGTCATTCCTTGGGCACGAACATGTGGTCAGCGAGCTGCTGCAGGTGGGCCTGCTGCTCCTTGATCTTCTGCTTCATCTCCTGGAGCTTCTCCTTCTCACGCTGGCGGATGGCGTAGTCCTCGGCAGCCTTCTCGCGCTGCTGGAAGGCGTCACTGTCGATGGCGTGTTAGCGGGATTCGCAGGGTGGTGCAGGTGGTTCGGAGAGGGTGTGTTGAGCAGCAAGGCGGAGGTTCACAGCGCTGCTTTCACGAAAACATACCCTTGGCCGCCGGTGCTGCGGACGGAACCGAGATCGCCGTCAGCCATGGCGCGAGCGGTGGTGGTGAATGTGGCTCGGGAGGCGAGGTACAGAGGGGCGCGGATGGCCTTGGAGGTGACGGTACGAAGCATGGTGATGGATGTGGATTTGGGAAGAGATGGGCGAAGGCGGGGGATTGGAGTTCTTGAAGGGTATCTGCCGCGAAGGGACAATGGTCGATTGGTCTGTTTGGAGAGGATGGTTGGTTGTAGAAGAGCAGAGGTGGGTGGGTGGTTTGGGGGGAGCTGATCGCCGTGTCATCAGTGAGGGTAGCCGTATTCAGTTGCTTTAAAGCCCATTGGATGCAGGGGTAGGCTGCCGGGTGGGAGCTTGGGGCAGACCACAGCTTGCGATAATGACGTACCTCGGTTTTGGTGG